AACAGGTTGCCCAGAGAAGCTGTGGATGCCCCATCCTTGGAAGTGTTCAAGGCCAGGCTGGATGAGGCTTTGAGAAACCTGGTCTAGTGGGAGGTGTCCCTGCCCCTGGCAGGGGGGTTGGAACTTTAAGGTTGGTCTTTAAGGTCCCTTCCAACCCAAACCATTCTGAGATTCTATGTTTAGAGCAGAGTTATCATTAATTCAGCTGTCACTGCACTAACCAGCTGTGATCAAATGACAAATACTGGCACTGAGGCACAGTGTATCACAAAACCAGGCCGCAGAGGAAATAGCAGTGCTAATCTAGCAGGACTAGACTCCAGCCCTAAATCAAGTGAATTAACACTGCGGTGAAAGCTACTTCAGTCTTAGAAGAAAAGTGTAATACCTCATGACCCCATTTTCCTATTTTCATTAGATTGTTTTTGTTCTTGCTGGAAGGGCCGTGATTTAACTTGGCTGGAGAAAGACGATGGTAGCCACATGGCATTCATTATACTTGCTAAGCCTGGTTCCTGCACTTGAGTTGTTAGAACCAGCTGCGACCAGTTGTCACAATATTTGAAAGAACTGAAGTATTTATGCAGAAGGAAAGCTGCTTTTCCCCATTTCCTAAAGGAGAGTGTCATGGCACGGGGCCTCCACAGGCGAGTGAGCAAGTCTCCAACCCTGAAACCCTGTTCTGATGCGTTTCGCTGTCACGCTCCGTCCCATCGTGCCCCTGAGGCTGATGGCAGAGCATCTGCTGGCACCAGCCAGCGCGGCCACACGTGCCGGCCGTGAAGGGCTGCGCTGAGCTCAGAGTTCTGCTTCAACTGAAAACGTCCTCCAAAACTTCGCTGTTTAAGCACCGCAACAATCTTGAAAATTGGGTGCGTTGTGCAAAAACTGTGATACGAGGCAGCCAAGAACCCCGTCTTTGCATGCTGGTTTTTGGTGTGCATTTATACTTCCAGTGCTGCAGAATCTGCCATGTATAAAACAAAGATGGCATCTCATTTTCTTAAGACCACCCATAAGGGATGACTGGAAAAGAAATTAGTTTATTTTATGCTGGAATTGCTGTCCCCAAAGTCATTTGTTAGCTAAATGTTTTTAAGTGTGTTCCTTTATTACGGAAAGAATTGGGCAGTAAGAATTTAATAGGCACTGAGAAGGCTGCTAATTTATGTATAGCAATTGTTTGAATTATGCGTAGGTTACGCCGTGGGCCAAACGAGTATGTGTGTCTCTGAAAGTTACTGCTCTTGTGTTAGCTGTAAAAATATCTGGTTTATTCTGTCTCTCATGAAGAAAAACTGATCTATGTTACACACGCCAGGGCTGCTCTATAAACCAGTACCTACTCCTGACCTCATTTAACAGTCCTCCAGAGCAGTCACTGTAGGCATTCCAGAAAAGCAGGCCACCTAAAAAAAAAGTATTTATTGAGGGGAGGAAAAAAATAAATGCTAAGTGTGACCTTCAGCAGCCATGGAAAAATAAAAAATGCCGGTTTGGGCAGCCTGAACGTTCTTAATTTCAGACCAAAGAATTGCTGAGAGGAACTCCCTCTGACCAGTTCTCCGATGGAAAAAAACATGCCTGCAGCCAAAAGGAGATAGCAATAAATAATTTTCTAAAGCCAGAGCAGAACTGCATGCACAGAGACCGTCAACAGGAGGCGAGAGTTTTTGGCAAAGTACTGATTAGCTCACAAAAATATGAGAAAGGGAGGGTTTATAGGTAGGCTGCTCTTTTGAGTTGCACTTCAGGGAACAGTATTACGAGCCACCTCACTGCTTCTCAAACGGCCACGATGGCAGAGATTCAAGTCTACGGACACCCAACATCTTCATGAGTTGGGTGTCCCGTAGACTTGTCCTGGGACTTTCTGCCTAACCTGCCCCTGAGTACTGAGCCCATTTCTAAATGCTCTCACCTTTCCCTTCAACCTCGCAACCAAAGGTTGAGCATATTAAGAACAGGCACTGTGACAGGAGTTTAGATGA